TGAAGCGATTTTACAGTGGACAACAAGGCTCTGAACTCGGGTTCTCTTCTGCTTCTTCAAATAAATAAATGCACCAACGATTAAACTGAGGTGCTGGCAATATTCTTGTAAAAGTAATGCACTAAATATACAAATAACGATCTAGAGCTATTTACAGCTATTTTTCCTTGAGAATTTCCTCTCTTTAGTAATACATAATTATTGGTGAGAGATAAACCTTGAAGTAAATTTTGAAGTTTACCTAGAGGGCTTTTAGTTCCTTTTTGCCATCACAATGGCAGTATTTTAAGCAGGATGGCTATCTCCAGATTCTTACCCACACAAAAAGTCAACAGTTACAGCTAGCAGGATTTTTTTTTCAGGATTCATTTTAGTTTTACTCCATTTGGCAATAAGAAAAGACTAGCACTGTACAGGGCTGCAGGGTATATAAATAGCTACACCACCTCTCTGCAGGAAAACACTGCGCTCTGAAATAGTCATCTACAGATGCAGGAAATTCACCCTGCAGTACTCACAGGCTCCTGGCTCCCTTGCTGCTGTCAGTTTGGAAACATTTGATGCTGTACAGACTGAGAACGATTTAAAAATACAGTTCTGATTGTTCACAAGCGTGACACTTTCTGTTGCCTGCACAGACATGTCTCTGGCTTAAGAAACACTCCAACAGAGAGCAAGGCAAGAGCCCAGGCCTTGCACAGGCCAACACACACACACTGCTCATGGTATCAAATCCCTCGACCTGGGCTGAGCACAGCTGGGACTCACACTTGACTGTTCCACCTACACCAGGCATCAGCTTGTCCTTGAAGCATTTTCTTACAGCAGCAGCAATAAGGTCCTCTGGACACTCTGGTACCTTGAGACCAATTTAATTTTTACCCCATACTGATATTTTCATAGTTCTCTATTCTGATATTGCTCCGTGTCCCATTTGGGGACACATCAGGGCTCCTCCTTTCAACACGACACAGGATCAGACCCTAACCAGCTGGACTTCTTCAGTGCATTTATATTCCCAAGTGTACTATTAGGACCTTCCTGATTTGAGAGTTTCTACATCAAATATGACACAAAATTAGGAACAACCTATGAGGTTGCCTGCTTGGATACACCTAACAAGGCAGGCAACAGCCTCCTTCACACAGCCAAAGGGTGTTACATGAAACATGGTTGTGCACACCAAGTGCAGGCTCCCTGCTTACAGGTACAGAGCACTTCACTCCTCGTGGGAGTCTCTCTGCAGCAGGCTCTCCTCTGGTCAACATAATCCACAATTCATCTCAGAGAACCACTTCTTCAGACTCCAGTGGACCTCTGCCTGTCATCTCTAAAAGGTTTTACAGCTTTTTGCTGAACCTTGGACCTGCCACCCACTGACCTGGAATTTCAACAAGTTCTTCAAAACGAGGATTCACCAACTGCCGATGGTGCCTCTACCCAAAAAACCAAACCAACCCCAACCCTCAGATTTCCTGTATGTTGCACAAAGAACGGGCTGCACTAAACATTCTACCACCCCCTTGTCCTGGGGAATAAACAGACAGAATCCAGTGCAGGTAATTTGATCAGAAACTTGATGACATGCACGTAAAAACAGCAGTTCATAAAACACCACCAACAGCTCTGCAGCTTTTAGTGCAGCCTCAATATGTTTTTTTCCTTTTTGTTTAAAAGTTACAGCATGATACTTACCCCAGGACACAGAAAACATTATTACCCCAAGACTTTTTTTTTTTTTTTTTACAGTTATAAGCCAGTGCAAAAATCTCTGCCTTCAAAGCCTTGGCCCACACTGAAGCCTGTCACTTTTCCCCCAGGATGCACAGTGTGCCACCAAGGCAATCTGGACTGGGGACTGTTTGCAAACAGGTACTGCTGCAGGCCTGGGGACCCCAGCTGAACACCTCACCCCCCTCAGTCCGTCTCCGCGACGTGGGCCACTTCCACGGCTTCCACGGCCTGCGCCTCCTCGGCCACTTTCTGCCCCTGCTGCTGGGCCAGGACGTAGTTTACCACCTGCATGATGCTCTGGTCGGAGAGAGTGGAGACGGAGGCGCACTCCTCGGTAGCTGCCACGGCCTCGATGCCCTCCAGCACCTCCCCCGTCACCACCACCGTCTCGATCTCGTCGCCGCCCATCTCCGCCTCCTGCTCCCGCACCTCCGCCGCCAGGATGCTGATGGCGTGCTCCACCTGCGTGCCCTGGTTGTGGAACTGGAGCGTGTCCTTCTCCAGCATGATCTTGCAGGGCACGTAGTCCCTGTGGAAGCGGGTCATGTGCTTGCGCAGCGTGCGGGCGTCGATGTAGGCCTCGCTGCAGACTGGGCACACGTAGGGCCGCTCGCCCGTGTGGGTGCGCACGTGGCGCTTCAGGGAGCGGGCGTCGGCCCAGGCCACGCCGCACGTCAGGCACTCGAAGGGCTTCACGCCTGCCCGTGGGGAGAGAGGGGACAGGGTCACCCTGCGCCTGGGCAGCGGCAGGACGAGGGGAAGGCTGCAGCTTTCCCCGCAAGATCTGCCCCTCCTGCGGGAGGATAAAAGGCCAGCGTGCCACGCCCGGCGCGAGCACTCCCCACCCGTGCTCCGAGCAGCCTCACGCTTCACTGTCAAATCTCCTCTTCAAAATTCCTGTTAATGCAGTTCCTCCCCTATTTAATGGCATACTGCTTCATCGAATTCCAACTGTCTTTTGCCTGTGAAGCCTTTCTGAAACCATGTTTTACTTGATGGAATTTGTCACAGTTCTAGCCACCCTTTGTTCCTGTAACCCCTTCTATAGGCCTCTCACCAAGCCAGTGCTTACTCTAGTTAGCTCCTGATGCCATTTGCAGCTTTTCCCTCCTCCTCCACTCTGCTGATGGTCAAATCCTGCACCCGATGTGTGTATAACCTTATCCTCCCTTGCACCATCCGAGTTCTGCCGTCTGTAGTATCTAATGGGGGGTGTGGGTGACCACATACACTATTTCAATACTGCCTTTTCCTCTGTAACAGTTACAGGACTTTCTCTGTTTAGGGAAAAAAACAAAACATCTCTCTTTTTCTGCTGCTAAGCTATTAGATTTACTCAGAACAGCTTTTCGAAAGAAGCTACTTTTCAAAAGGAGAGTTCCCACACTGCTAGAACACCCAAATACCCCAAAATCAGTACTGCACTTCACATCTAAAGTGAAAATGCAGAGACTTTTTATTTAAGTATAATTTTCATATTTTCCCCAATCATATAGTTTAATCCTTGTTATAGATCAAGAACTTCCAGCAGTGGTCCTTTTTTTAAGTCCAGGCCAATCACTCTCCTGTTTGGAGATACTTTTGTTAACCGTGTGCACCTTTCAAACCTGAGAACAGTTTACTACATCCCATTATTTACCAGATATGCATCTTTTAACCACTTCTAAAACAGTTCTTTTCAGACCTTTAAGGGAAGGGAGACAAGCTGTCACTGCTCCTGTCTGTGACTGCAGCTTTAGGAAGATCCCAACAGTCACTTCTGGAAATCACTGGAAGCAGGATGATGAACCAGGACTAGCATAAAAGCTAACTGGAGAATCTGTAAGAACTTTTCTGTGTCTTGCAATGCAGGACACAAACTCAAAGAAACAACTACCCCCTTCCCCACAGTGTTTGTAGGGGTTGAGGGGTGTCATGAGGACTTCTTTTCCACCTACCTTCATGATTGTTCATGTGTCTCCTGTACTCCCGGAGCTGTGTGAATTTTCTTCCACAATGCTCACAAACTCGTTCCAGGTTTTGTTTTGCTCTTCCTTTTTTGCCATGTGTGGCTTTCTTTACATGTCTTCTGTACAAAGCTCTCTCATAAAATTCTTTACCGCATATATTGCACCTAAAATGTGTTGAGAAATCTACTGAAACCATTATTCTGTACTTATGTTATGCTATTTAAACCAAAATACACTAATTATAGCAGGCGAAGTGTGATGGGAATACTGTCTCTTATGACAAGCAATTCCATAATTAGAAATATCATCATTGGACTGAGCAACATGTTCTCTTACTCAGAGCACAAGGCTTCCACTTTTCATTCTAGAGAAGTGAGATCACATAGAAAGCATTTCTAGCTTCATTAATTAGACCTACCCCCCCCACAACTTCGTATGCATTAGTTCCAGTGTTGTGCCAGCAGGTTAACAACTGGACTCCACCACTTGAAGTCACCCATCCATTCTCAAGTACTCAAGACCCCAGTCAACATCAATCAATTGGGACTTTTAAAGTTCCTTCTTGACGGGCTGTGGATCTGCATAACCTCATATGGATCAGTCCATCTCAGTGGTTAAAGGCATCCCCTCTTACCTGTAAGGGTCTGTGACAGAATGAGACTTCACATGAGAGTACCAGTCCTTCTTCCAGCTGTAACACTTCCCACAGAACTGACACTGGAATGGCTTCACTCCTAAATGTTTATTCATGTGCTGCCGAAGGTCTCGAGCTTCATAGAAACTCTTCTCACACCTGCCACAGTAAAGGTTTCAGAATCCCACATAAGAAAGAGCTTTGTGATTCTGATATCAAAAGCACTGGAACCCTCTTCTCTGATGGCAACTAAAGACATAGAGAAAGCAGCAGCTATTGTGTCATCAGTATCTATATAACTTAGATATCTAACCTATATAGATCTATATAACCCTTAGATAGATATAGCTATATATCTAGAGGGCCTTGAAGAGGGCTGGTATTCAGTGAGCTGCTCATTTGGAAAGGATATTGAGAGAAAAACTCAAGCAGTCACCACCCTCTGATACTCTCACACACTACTGCAATTTACACAAATAACTTTACTGGAAAACTTCCAGGGACATTTTAGGGAACCAACTCACATTCAGCTTTGTTCAACTAGGCCAGAAGCTCAAACTGAAGCCTGGCAGGGACATTTCCATAGCAAGCCACCAAACCAGAAGACAGAAGTCTGGTTATTGCTGAGTGAGGCTCTCTGAACCACTTTGACAAAATGAATTACAGGTCTTATCAGGTCTTCACTGCAGTAGTAGTAGGCACTGTGTGTTTTGAAGAGGTGGGGGAATCAAAATATCTCCTCTATCAAGGTAATCTTTTGCATTCATACCTGTGCTACCTTGAGTAAAAAAAGACTGTTTTCAAAAAAATATATTTCTCCTTTGAAAACAAAATTGCCATTCCTACTATGTTTCATTAACCAGTTCTGTCTGTACCCTATTAACTCCATTCTTGGAATTTCCAAGATGGATATTTTTAGCATTACAAAGCACTAAATAAAAACATTGCTGACAGAATGGAGTTTTCAGCAGGTAGGAAACGTTACTGTTGCTAGCACACAGCAGCAGTGCCAGAGACACTTGAAACAATACTCCAGATTAAAACCATGAGTTGCATACAAGTAACCATATAAACTGTAAAACCCCTCTTAATACCTGAGAGAGTTTTCCAGGAACCTAGTTGACAGTATGGAAATTAAGCACCATTGAGGCTTTTGGAGGTCACTTGAAAAGTTCTCCTACACCCTGCCTGGTGATGGACAAAGTGTTCTGCTGCCACGCCAGGAGACAGAGCTCCTCCCAGGGACTTTTTTTTCCAACTCCACAGTGCAAAGACACTGCAGTGGTCACCCAAGTTGATCATCAAGTTAACTGCAAAGTCAGTGAATCTGAACCTACAATGCTCCTGCAGAGCTGTTTGCTGGACACAGCGTGTCCCGTGGTGTGCACACGTGGGTGACATCGTGGGCTCTGTTCAGATTAAACTGAAAGGAACTGGCATGGGAAAAGAGGGACAGACCAGGCTGAAGGCCCTTCACCTCTGACAAGCTTCTCTCTGTCCTGCAAGGGAGCTTTAAAACCACATAGTTACTAGTAACAGCTACAAGTGCAAACACACTCATTAGAAAACAACTGTACAAAGCTAGAGGTAGGTAGGTAACAGAACCACCAGCCTTTGCTCTCCAATGCATGTATTAACCACACTTTTTACTCTTATGCTTTAAAAAGTCTTATTGCAGACCAGTTTGAGGCTACAAGGAGCTGCTTTTAATCTTTAAGATTACTAGGATCATAACCTTCAGAAAAAAAGCCCACCAAATAAAAGGCACCAACCAACTTACTGAGTACACTGATATCCACGAACTTCAGGCTTTGGCTGGTGCTTCTTTATGTGTTTACTGAGTCCTGATGCCCTGTGGAAAGATTTTCCACAGATGGAACAGAGATACTTGGATTCTCCTGACAAAAACAAAACACAGCACGTTACAAAGCCAGGTCTCCCTATCTCTGGAATGCTTTGTGAGAGGCTTTTTCCTTCTCATATAACTATCCTATGTCATCAGAACAGTGTTTCAAAGAGAATTTGGTTTAATTGCACACAGATGGAATTAACTGTATTTTGTACATGCCAATTTAACAATACACAGAACAGGGAGTAGCAGCCCCAAATTACTTTATTGCATGTTTTTAAACACAGGTACAACATGGCAGCTACTAATTAGCCACTGAAATGTGAACAGGCTAAAAAACTGCCCTCTTGTGTGAAAAAAACAATTGACTGTGTTCATATAATATGCAATTTCTTCAACAATGCAGCACTACTTACAGACAACTCACATCTTGAATTTGTTGAGTAACACCTTCAAAGTTTTTCACTCCAGTTCAGCAGTTTAGGAGTGCTGAGTAATAATATAAATCCCTTTGTTTCTGGAACTAATTGTTTTAACAGAAACAGTCTCTCACTTTGGATTCCACTCCACTTGGTAAACAAGAAACATGGAGAATTTCTATACATTAGTTTAAAACTCTGCTTGCATTCATTTATTGTGTCACCTTTCACATGCTGAGATCTTTCAAGATATCAGGTTTTATAAAATTTCAGTTTTAGTACAGCAAGTCTTGTAAAATATTTATGGAGATTCTCAGAGATTAACTTAGCATGTTTTCCTCTGAAAGGATAGGTTGGAAGTGCAAGTGCTCCAGAACATTCCAGGCTGTTGCCTATCTTTGTTGCACTGACATGATCCAGGCATTAAATACACACATAAAACTCACAGAAACAGATCAACCATCATTCCCTGTTCTTGAAGAGAACATTTGTACATCAAGCTATGGTAAAACAAGCCCAGAAAATAAAACCAAAATGACTACTTACCTCTACCTAAGCTGCCTGATCAGTAGAAAAAAACCAAGAAACTACTATTGTTTAAATGGTTCCTTTGACACTATCTTTGTTGCACTGACATGATCCAGGCATTAAATACACACATAAAACTCACAGAAACAGATCAACCATCATTCCCTGTTCTTGAAGAGAACATTTGTACATCAAGCTATGGTAAAACAAGCCCAGAAAATAAAACCAAAATGACTACTTACCTCTACCTAAGCTGCCTGATCAGTATAAAAAAAAAACAAGAAACTACTATTTTTTTAAATGGTTTCTTTGACACTGAAGAACAATGTTAAAGCTCAGCAGCATGTAACAGCCAACTAAAGTAGCAGGACCTTCTCTTACCACATACCTGTATGAATGCTCATGTGCTCCTGCAGGCTTCTTTTTGTGACAAAAGACTTTTCACACAAGTCACACTTGAACTGCTTCTGTACTTCATGGAGAGCTAAGTGCATTTTTAATCCATGCTTATATGTAAACGTCTTTCCACAAACCTGAAAAAATCCGTGTCCGGTGGAACAGGACAAATAAGACTCATTATGTAACAGATGTTTCACTTCAAACACAGCAAAACCTCCTGTATTTCCTGGGACCTGGGAGGGCCAAGCCTGTGATATCACATCAATAGCATAACTGTTCTGTTAAAAAGGAACACTCAAGGGAAGACATTCTTCTAGACACAGGAATAAGAGCTTTCATGATTCGACTTCACTCCATTTTTCTCATTCTTAGACTACAAGAACTCTCATCAGGAATGTTACAGTAGTCTTCCCTATTCAGAATATATCTAAAATTTAGGACAGAGTATCAGTACTAAAATACCAATAAAACATTACTAATCTGACTATGGAGTAAGTGGAATTTCCTCTTTACCTTGCACGCATGTGGTTTGACACCTGTATGTTTGAGCATGTGTATTCTGAGAGAGTAGAGCTTAGGCAGAGTTCTTCCACATATGTCACAGATAAACTCCCTCTTGATTCTGCCTTTCACCAAGGACGTGCCTGTCTCCTCTGCACTGCCAGCTGCAGGGTTCACCTCTGTCTTCCGCGTGTGGCGCACCAGATGGGCTCGCAGGGAGGCACCGTACTGGAACTCCTTCTTACACAGCTGGGGAAGAAAACATCACAGCTTCACTTGCTGTTTAATACTGCCAAATTAACTTTTAGAGAAAAGGTAAACAAAGGTTTCGAGTAATATAACTATCTAGGTCCGGTCTATAACCTGACTCCAATAAGTATTTTATCTCAGGTTAATTAATAGTTGTCAATTTTTAATTTCATGGCTACTCACAGAACCACTGATCACCTCCCAGTGAGGCTAACTTCCAGGCTAATCTAAACAAGGCTGCAAATTTACTGGTAAGGTTAAAAGCAAAGCCTGCTCCAGCACTGTCTTGAGCAGCAACCATGTCACAGTCACCACCCTGGACCCCACTCTGTCCAGACTGAGGCCGCAGCCATCTCTGAAACTCATAAGGAAAATAAACACATGTACGAAAAGAGGCAAGAAAAATATCTGCTAATGTCACGACTTGATTAACTTTCATAAAGAGGAACATTCACAGAAAACAAAACCCAAACCCAAACTTACTGGGCATTTATAATCTTTGGATCTTTCATGTTTCAGGGTGTGCATTATAAGAGCGTAACGCCGCTGGAACACCACCCCGCACTCGGGGCACTTGTGCTGAGCTTCCACTTCATTGTTTTCCACGCTCTCTCTTTTGGGCTGTTTCATTTTTTTCCCTCTTTGTACAAGCTTCATAGCAACCTAGGTTGGAAAAACATAACCCATGGGTTAACTTTACCACACTGTATTTTGTATTTCCTCTGCAAGTTGGTACTAAAAGCTGCTGTTTCTCTGTGTTACTAGAATAACATCTAATTTTGCTCAGTTTACTTAGCTGCTAGAAAGTTACCCCCTTTCAGTTCACTGCAAAGCCACAAATCTCATGGTGGGTAAAAAACTGGTCTTGTTTTAACACCATAGATGGATTAGAAGTATAGGCAGATAATGATTACCAGTTCAGAGACAACTAACTATTCAGCTCTGAGTAACTGCCTGAGTGAGAGCTAAGGGATAGTTACACAGGAACCAAGGTACTGCCAGCCACAATTTCCATCGAGTGTTGCAAACCCTTTCCTAAACTCCAGCTTCGCTTTTCAAGACAGATTTGCTTTACTACAAAAGCTATCAGATTAAAAGAAAAGTGCCCTAATTCATTTTTACCAGCCAGCAAAATTTGAGTTACTATTAAGATGTAAAAAAATCAATAGTATTAATCGAAGTTCTTTCTGGACAAAAGCATTCCAGCTTGACTAGTGCTCTTTAAAAATTGTTGTGAGGCATTACTGATTTTTTTTAGGGAGTATGGGCAGTGCTACCTGGATCTGAATCTCTTTTTCCTTTGCAGAAACTTGCTGTCAAATTCTTTAAAAGCCAAACTGTAGGTGAATAGGCTGAAAGTTTCTGTAACAAGTATCTCCCCTTCAGGTTTCTGAGAATAAGGCAAGGGAGAAAAGTACAATGCATCCTCATTTCTTCCTCCTGTTCTCTCAAGAAGTGAGTTTTTTTCTAGCAGTTTTTGAAAACATACCAGCCCTTCCACATCTCTCAAAACCAAACTGAAACTCACCACAAGGCAAATATTTTCCTTTTTTTTAAAATTTTTCTTTTTAGATTTGTTGTTGCTCTGAAAGCTTATGCAAACCTGGCTAAATTGTGAAGACAAATAATTTTGTTGGGTAGGTGTTTAGTAAGAGCTTGTACAATAATCCATCCATACAAAGCACACTTCCCAACATCTATCTCCATGCCAGCTGCAGTTACTGTAACTCAAATGTCAGCAGCAGTTTTCTTGCAGCCTTGCTTTCCTGTTATTCTTTCAGCATCCAAGCTGGGAACTTGTAAAGGAGTGTCTCCTTCCCAATGCTTACATGACATCCAGTGCCATGGGCAAGGGGGGTTGACAGAAGCATCAGACAAAAATGTTCCAAGATGTAAAAAAATAAGTCAGCAATGCAGAAGTCCATTCCTGAGTGCAATTCTGAGAAATCATCTACACCAATTTCTGTTTCCAAAGCTGGCCACTGCCTGTAGGCCACACCTAGCAAGAGGCCAGATTTAAAAACTGCAAAGTTATCAGGAGCTGTTCCCAAAGGCAGATATTCCCTCTCCCAAAACAGAACAAAAACTTGTCATTCTCCAACCATCATAAACAGGTTGCTCCAATATTTTGATTGTGGTTGTTTTAACATCAGGGCTTTAAGCTGCCCATCTGCAAAAGGAGACTAATGTTACTATTTCTGTCTCCAAAGGTGTTGCAACCATAACAAATTATCCTCCCAGCCTGTGGGACTGGTGGCTCCAGTATGTAAACACCTCAGAGAACCCCTCTGGAAATTAACAGCTCTCTGTAAGATTTAGCCAATGTAGAAGGTAGGAAGTGTACACTGTCACAAAAATGTATGTATTAATGCTCAGTGAGGTGAATGTCAGCTATCCACAGGCACAAGTAAGGCCATTTCATTTAAAAAAAAAAA